TGAGAGGCTTCACCAGAGACAGAGTGGGAAGCAGAACAGGCAGATCGACGAAGTACACTGCTGAGGGGAGCAGCGGGCTGGTCAGGAGAGGTCTGCCACGCCATGTGGTCACCTCCGGGTCACCTCCGGGGCAGGCGGGAATCGAACTCATGAGGAAGCGGCTTTAGATTCTCCGTGCTGTGCTTTAACCCGCTGCGCCACCAGGGAGGGCCAGGGAGGGACCTTTTTGATGAAATTGTAAATAGGATTTTTTCCCTTGATATCTTCCTCATCTAGTTTGTTGTTTGCATATTGGAACACACTGATTTTGTAACTTAAGTTGCTTTTGTTGCTTGACATTTAATGATTATAGTATTTTAGTATCTGTTAGTATTATAGTATTTTAGTATAGTATTTTAGGTTTTTTTTTTTTTTCGTTTTTAGGGCTTTCTATATATGTTATATCAACCCTCAAATAACGATAGCTTTACTTCTTTCCCAGTTTGCATTCCTTTTATAGCTTTTTTTTGCTTGATAGCTCTAGCGAGGACTTGTAGTATGTTAAACAGTAGCAGTGCAAGTACACATCCATGTCTTGTATCAGATCTTAAAGGAAATGTTTTCAGTTTTTCATGGTTGAGTATGATAGCTGTAGGTTTGGTATGTTCCTTCCATCCTCAAGTTTTTTGAGGATTTTTATCATAAATGGATTTTGAATCTTGTTAAATGTTTTCTCTATCTATTGGTATGTTTCTTTAATCTTTAGCTTTCCTTTATGATGTATTGAGTTATGGTGATCAATTTGCAGTTATTGGCACCATTCTTGTGTTTCTGGATTGTCTTGGTGAAATAAAACTTGCTTATTGTGTATGATTCCGGTAATGTAATAGAATTTGACTTGATAAGATTTGTTGATGATTTTTGCATCAGTGATGGTGACAGGTATTTTTCTTTTTTTGTGATGTCCTTACCTGCTTCTGGATTCAGAATACTGTGGGCCTCATAAAATATGTTCAGAAGCATTTCCTCTTCAATATTTT